TGGGCCGGGTAGGGTGGGTAGGTGGGGTAGGGGCATGGGCCGAGTAGGCCGGGTGTAGGGTTAGGGAACTGCCAGGGTTGCGGACCAATGGGTTGTCGCTGATTCGAGCCGCCACGACCACGGCCACGTCCCCGTCCGCGGTTTCCACTGTTGAAGGGTCGAGATTGACTACCATAGCCGCGCCCAGGACCCCTGCCTGCAGCTGCTGTCCGCCCGCCGCTGGAGACCCGCCGCCACTGCCAGTGCTGAGGAGTGTCGTCGATGAGCCGGTGCCATGGGTGGCGTCGGTTTGTTGTTGTTCGACGAGCAATAGGGCCGAACGGACCTCCAAAAAAGTCGGAAAAGGAGTCTGATACTGAAGAAAAGTGACCTGGCCTTGTATGTCTTGCGGCAACCCCTGAAGAACCTGTAAAACCAAGGCATGTTCGGTCACCGGAGCATCCACATCATCGAGATAGTCAGCAAGATTTTTGAGGAGATGACAATATTCATTGATCGTCCGGTTGCCCTTGACGGTTGTGCGAAAACGATGCTCCAATTGCATCGCCCGAGCATGTTTGTTGTCATGAAATAATTTGTAGATCGCTGTCCAGAGGGAATGAGCGGAGGGGCTGTTGGCGAGAACAAGATCTGAAACCTCGTCAGTGATAGTGGAGAGAATCCACCCTTGAAGGAGGGCATCGAACTGGAGCCATTCAACGTCGTCGGAGGAGGCGGCAATAGTGGTGCCGTCGAGAAATCCCATGAGATTGAAGCGAAGAGCAAGTAGACGAAAAAGTTTACTCCACTTTTTGTAGTTTGGTTCGGATATGCTGAGTTGAATGGGGATGTGTAATTTGATGTTGGAGACAGTGGTGAAAGCAAGATGGGGGGTTTTGGGGGAAGATGTATTGTCAGAGGAGATAGACGAAACCTCGGCCATGGTGGTGCCGGGAAGAAATCACGGCTGAGAGAGGGAGAGCCGAAGGGAGAGACGGCAGAGAGGGAGCCGGCAGAGAGAGGGCCGAAGGTTTGAGAAGGGAGCCGAGAATTTTTAATGCTCCGATACCATGAAAGATTTGTTATTTCCAATGGTTTACAATGTGATATTACAAGGGAATATATACTAGGAGAATCCTAGGTATATTAGGAAAATACAATACAAGGAAACCTAGGCATGTATGGTAACTAGAATATACACAATATAATAATATGTACATAATATATTAAATATAGAAAGACTATATTTAACACTTTTGTTAAAACAAAAATTAGTCGTACCTTTAAATTATCTTTTTTTAATTAATTTATTTTCCTTATTGTCGACCCATTTTATATAAAACAAAGCTAGACATTTGGTCTTTTTTTCTTTTATTTGATTACTTCTTGATTTACTCTATATTTATTTGGGTTTGATAGTTGTCATCCTTGACATGGAAAATAACATTAAACAATCCATTGATCGACGCCAATGACAAACTCGCTAAAATGCAAGAAGTCTTGAAATGCTCTTTGATTCTGTTCAAAAGGTCGAATAACGCTTAGCTATAGTTGGGTTGAGGCAAGGGAACTCACATGAGAATAATAATAA